CGTAGCTTCATTGGACTGGATAGGCAAATCGGCTCCAGTCCCCCTGCAATGTGGAATTTCCGTCCGTGCTCCAGGACGCTTCACACACACACACACACACACACACACACATGTACCATATCCGTTCGTAACATTGGCCGTAAAGACACTCAACAAAATGGGTGCGAGCGACAGGATACGCTCGACTCGTCCACCCACCAGCTTCGCTCCTGGCAAAGCTGAACCCGGCGTCAGGCTGCTTGGGGCAACTTCGGTAAGTGTTGGATCCTGTTAGTGGTGGATCCAAACTCCCTCAGCCACTGTTCGTGCGTCGGGACAGCCTGCGTCAGGTTAGCGGTTAGTAGGTAATCATGTCTATAGGGCAAGCCCACGGCTCTGAAAATTCTGCAAGAAATCCAGAACTGAAATAAGAGATTCCCACACAGAGGACCTCAACCATTGTGAGCTTCTCCCCAGTGAGCTCGCCTTAAAATAGGCTAATGGTTGTAAGTCCTCTAAGTTGGCTAGAACCATGGCTTCCAACCACTTACCAAGTACCCTGCCCTTTAAGTGGACCAATGCCAGCGCTGAAGATGGCAGGAATACAAAACAACAACGCAAAAAGCTGGTCCAAATATGCGCAAGACAACTTTGGCGCACCTAATCCACCTGCCAGATTCTGGAGCCGAAAGGAAGCATGGGTCACTGGATCTCCCTTTCAAAGGTTGCAATTCACTGGTGGTGTCCCTTGAACCTGCCAGTTCAGAGAGCTTGCGGGCTTTGAAGCCTCCTGCCGAATTCGAGCCTGCACAGTGCCCGAGCTCGTGGATGAGGACCTGTGCTTTTTGCAGGCTCCGAAGTGAGCTAGGGATCTACTTGTAGGACAGTGCCAAAATGGTCATGGAAACTCCAGGCGAAACCCAACGGAAACCAGCAAGGAGTTCCCCTGCTCGAAGACAAACCACCACCTTTTGCTTCCCGCCCGCCCCCCAAAAAAAACAAATAAAGAGACTCTGAATGTTTGACTAAAAATGGTGTCTTTCCCCTTCAGATGGCGTTGCTAAAAAATAGGGACCCTTCAGCTGGATGGTCTCCTTTTGCTTTCCACTTTTCACCATACAAGGGGACCCTATTTTGAGAACCAGGTCCGGGCACCTTATTCTGCCTTTTTGGACACAAGCCGAGAGCTTCGGACAAGTTGGGATTTTGGTAAATATTGGTTTTAATTAATTTCAAATAAATATTGAACATGGTTCATCAAACTCTATTATTGAGTTGTTGTTTTTTTTTTTAAATAATAACTAGGTTTAATGAACTTTTAAATTAATCTTGAATATTCACAAAGACAACTGAGAAATATTTAACATTGCTTTACATAATTATTTTGGAAAACAAAAAAAATGAACGTGTTTCATCAAACTCGGAAATACTTTTGAGTTCTTTAATAATAATTATGTTTGAAATACAATTCTAAATTGATATTGAATAGTTGTTCAAAAGCTCAGAAATATTTATGCTTTGTTTTAAAATAATTATTGCTTAATAAAACCGATATCCTCTATGAAGGGGGAGCGTTTACGAGCCTGCGGCAGGCGATCCGTAGAATTTTGATGGGTAAATCAAAACCAATGCATCCACTGAAGCATAGGTTGACCAATCAAAACCTATCTCTCCAAAACCAATCAACCCGCTGGTTGACGCGCTCCAGTCATCCCGACCCCCGGTAACCCGAAGCGGGGGCCGTGCCGTGGTGAACAGGACAACAAAGCCCACCGTGCACCTGGCGACGCAAACCTTCGCTTTTTGCGGGTACCTTTTTAGTGCTTGGTACAAAAGGCGTTTCAAGGGAGGCCAAAAGGAAAGCCATGAGATTGCCTGAAAAAGCAAGCACATATCGGCCAAAACTTGGAGATTCTCCTGAGTGACAGGTGAACGGTCGAAGCCAATTTCGTTTTGGGAATTGTAATGATCGTATTGATGGTTACTGGGCCCATTAAAATGACATTCTCAAGATGTCCCTCTAAAAGATGGTTTCACGGCAAGCCTTCCAAACGACATTTTGACAACCCCACAACATAAGGAACGCAGGGTTCGCCGCTTTGGCCGACCAGCTTGACGAATCTGGAGTGCGGTTGCAGTGCTCTTGGCCATGATGCACGCAAATGCTGTCGATGCACCGGATGCGTTACCATGTCGGCTTGTCCGTGACACCTGTCAGCTGTGTGAAAGATAAAATGTCCACCTGTGGAAAGCCAAAAAAAAAGTGGGATGCACCCCACACATCTAAAGTAGTCCAAGCCAATGGGCAAGCAGAGTTAATCCCAGTTGAATTTGCAGGAATCTTGGCTTCAAGTTGCACGAGCAACTTCGCCGAACAGAGCTGCTTGGTCGAGTCCGCGAGACGTCAAACCTCTCGCTCTGTTTGTGCGTCGCCACTCGCCCGGCTGCGCAAGTCTAACGGTGCCAGCTGCGCGACAGGGCGATCAGCGCTGCTTGGTGATAGTCAGGGAGGCCGCCCGGCCGCTTCGCTGCCGCCTGCAAAGGGATAAACGGGCTGGCATGGCACCGTGGGGACCCTTGCCATGGATTTCTTCGACCGTCGCTGCCAACCCCAAGTAAACCCTATTGACCGTGGCACATGTAAGGCAAACAGCATCAATCCTGGCTCCTCGGCATTCAGCACCCACAGCAAGTTTGGCTTCCTTTTCAATTGGGCCATCGCCCCTCAGGGTCCAAACTGGGAGCAAGGAAAAACAAGCTGCTGGTCAACTTGCAGAGATGTTCCCACCATGTTTCGATATTTGTTTTCCTGACCCATGATTTCTGAGCCCTTTTTCCTCCGCCTCTTGGTTGGAGAGCTGCCACACAAAGAAGGCAATGAGAAAAAAGTGGACCTCTGGCAGCTGCTTTTTTGCTTGGCCGAAACGCCGATGGCTGCTGCACCAGGGTTCTTACGAGTCCACTTGCGATTTCTGGGGGCCATCCCTGACTGAGCCTTATCCACCCACACCCGGATTTTGATTGTGGCTCACATAAACATGATCAAACAAATGACCTTGAACCATGGTGTCAACTTGGGGCTCAGCCGGATACTCCTAGCTGCATGGCGCTACATGGACCAAGCGCTTGGCATAGACAGGGATGCCGCAAGGGCTGCAGAGCTGGAACTCCATTGGGAAGCTGAGCCTCGAACCATGCGACCCGTCTGTCTAAACTTGCATCCCAAAGGACACCGCAAATTTGGGACGCCATCGGTTTTTTCAGGGCGCCGCTCTTGCAAAATGTTCAAATATGGGCACGGGAGACCCCTCAGGCAAAGGCCCAGCCCCCAAATGGATGTGGCAAGCAAGAGGAGCGGAATTTGGGGGCACGGCACATGAGCCAGTGCTGCAGACCCATTTTCAACCACCCTGTGAGAGTTGATACATACAAGAGCAGGGCATCGCTTTTGGTACGCCCCCATCGCTTCCCCAGCTTGCTTCACTTCTGGAAAACCGATGTCCCGAATACATATTCTAGATATTGCGAGTTTTGACGGTTGCTCAAGTAGGTGCCAAAATTGCCCAAAGTGTTGCATCCTTTGAGAAAACATGCATTCAATTTGGGTTTGGCTCCAACGGGAGAAAATAAGCAGCGCCCTATTTGGCTTCCCTCCAAAACCACCTGGCCATGCGTCCAAATCCCGTACCCCCAGGGAACATTCCAATCCCCACTAAAATAGACTAAAATGGGTGGTGCCCAAATGGTACCATTGCTTTTGACCAACAGCCACCTTTGAAAAGCACAAATGTGTCCTGGGATGCCACATGCTTCATTGCCATGGTCAAAACTAATAATGTGTGCCAACACCGGTTGTCCAACCAATCAACTAATCCATGACTGTCCGGTTCCAAGTGAGTCAGGCTGCGCAAGTAAAAGCAATAGCCAAGAATCCACGCAAGCAGTCATCTGACACAAGAGAGTCTGCTGTGACACAGCCGTTTGCCCTTTGGAATTCTGGAGCATGCCTGCTACGTGGATCATCACATGCACAAAGAAACACAAGGGACGTCAAAGAAGCAATTGCGGTTGGGGCCATGCCGAATAGACCTGCATATTCAGGAGAGGTTGTATCAAGCATCACATGCCCTACAAAGAACCAACTCCAAACCGCAGAAAACTCAATCGTATGGTTGTCAGATTCCCAAAATAAGGACTTAGGCCGAAACAAAGGCGCAATGCTCTGCGCTGATAGGGATTAGAGTCGGCTTCTTTGAGGTTCCCTTCATACGACTCCAGCCTCTCCATGGCTATGCCGCGGTTCTTCGACGCTTCGCGATGTGTGGCCGCGGATTCGGCTTGTCCTGTGCCACGTCTGTCCTGTTCTGCTGTCCTGTGCTAATTCCGCATTCTGATTGTCCTTTTTGGATAGTCCTCTCGTCTTGCTGTGATCACATTGCCAAAGCTCAAGCCTGAGCTGACGAGCCGACAAGCGCAGCTTGGCAAATTTGCGGTGCCGTGCAACACGTGCTCGGCTGACGCTATGCTTGACAATCCTTGGTTTCGAGGCAAGTGAGACAGCATGTATGTGTGTGTCTCCAAATAGAAGAACCAAACAAATATGGAATTCCATGTTTATTTGCTTTCACCCTCAAAAAGCATGCTCTCGGGGCAAAACATATTTAAACCATTGATTTGAACATGCCAACAATATAAAATGTGTTTTGAATCATTCATTTGATGTGGTTTCAGATCAATGTCTTGTTGGGTATGGTCAAATCAATGATATAACAAATCATTGAGTTCGAGGGTATGTTCAAATAAAACTATCCTGCACAATTATTGAATATGCATTATTAGTATGAATAACAGTTGCAGCAGCTTCACGGATGGGTTGCAATTTGAGTTAGACCATGAACCTGACAAAGTTAAAAGAGAAGTAAATATATAATCGTCATTAAATGGTGGTGGTAAATATGAAACATTCCAATATGCATTTATTACCCATTCATATGGTGTGTTAGTTGCCAGCTCTGCCCTGCCTTCGGATTGTCCGCAGCCAGCTGCATCAAAGCAAAACAAGGACATGTGCCTCATGCCGGATGTGCGAATCAAACCCTTCAAGAGAGGCAAACAATACCGCCTGAGAAATCGTCCGGTTGCCAAAATTCGGAAGCCCTGTCTACTCAAAAGGCGGGCCAACAGAAATCCAAGACAGCAGACAGGCCCCAAAAGAACGGGCCTTTTGTTTGACTCTTCGAAGCCGCTGAACTCTGCCTCTGTCCGCACCGACCCAGGAAAGGAGCCCGGGGGCTGGACTGCGAGATCAGGGCGCCAACCTTGGGAGAGGCTTCGCGTCGCGCATCTGTTTAATATGTGATTTGATTCCCGCATTGTCAGCTTCCCTCTTGGTGCAAATGCCCAAAGCACCAATCCAAACCACCAATTCAGGATTACATTGGCAACGGCCTTTAATTCTTGTTGCCCACCAAAAGGGGACACCCAATTCGACAAGATCCCTTGGAAAAGGCCGCTCCGGGCCCGGAACTCCTTGGATCCTCAAAAGAAAAAGGCGCGGGTCAAACGGCAAAGAAAAGGACCGGCAAACAGGAGCTTTGTTTATCGAATCCGTCCACGCTCTCCCCCACTTTGTGATTTCACCAGGCTCTTTTCATCAGGTTCCGCACTTTGACTACAAGTCTTGGAGTAGGAGGAACTTCGAGAATGGGGTTGCCCCCCGAAAAGGGCACAGCCTTTCCAGTCAAACAGGTATGTCGGTCCAAAGCCAACCAACTAAGGTATGTTCCATTTGAGTCCCGATCAGAACGAATTAGGGTACTGTTTTGCGATATATGATTAGGACTGTCCTTTACTATCCTTCACTTGCCCAGGGTTTCGATACTGGCTCATTTGAGGCTGATCCTTTTTTGGGGAAGATAAGCCGCCCTATTGATGGTGCTCTACCGTTTTTGCAGGCCAAGCCATGTTCTTTCAATCAGGTCGCCGAGTGTTGCATGCCAGCCGACCAAATTTCAGGCGCCGGCGAGGTTGCAAGCTTCCAAGCGGCTGGAAGAATTACCATGCAAGTAGATAATCACCTGAGCTCGCGGTCAGCAACTCCCATCAAACCCAAAGATACGGAAACGTGTCCAGAAGCAAAAGGTGCGTCAAACCTGGCCCAAGCGTGCTCAGAGATTCTGAAGACACGAAGCCAAGGAATACATGTTTGCCCCTTGCGTGACATCATGGCTTCAACCCCCTTGGCTGCCTGGCAATGATGATTCTGATAAGCCAGGTGAAGCCATTTCTAGTGGGTAAAGACAAGAAAAAAGAAGAAAGCCATGCACGGAACTTGGGCGCGCTTATTGGGTATTTCCATGTATTTCCTCCAACCTCCTTTGCCAGGTGTCTGGGGGTTGTGTTGGGCGCCCGCCTGCGCAAACGATATGGATTCATGGATCAATCTACGGGGTCCTTCAACAATCTACGGGGTCAATCTTTGGTTTCTCACGGAGCTTCGATCTCAGCTCCACGCAGGGAATCTTTGAATTTCTCGGCCGCCCTGCCGCGCAATGCGCTGCGATTCCATTTTCGGGATGTGTGAAAACTGGTTGAACTTGCTTGGGATGAACCTCAGTCAACACTTGTCTCTAAGGAGGGGTGATCTCATCTTGTGCGAATATGTAGTTCCAACTTACATGGGAACTCGTTGGGTAACCCCAGTTTCCTCCTGAAATCATGGTGAGTGGATCTCATGTAAGCTTCTTTGCTACCTTAGATGATGCTGAATCATTAGTCTCTTGACCTGTCACCAATGCATCTGATTCACTGTTCGCTAGGCATCAAAAGCACTAAGTCAGATCCAAAGCCATACAACCCATCTAAATAAAGGATCGATTTGGGCCGCGAGGCTTGAGCAAATTCCTCGTTGTTTTTATGTGTGCGCTCAATCATTAACATGCCTACATGCCTCAGGTGCAGTGCAGGAAGCACAGGGCTGCGTTCACTTTTCTCTCCACTTTGTTCGGCAAACCCGGAACCCATCAAACATCCGGGCTTTGGCCAACGTGGGATTCTCCTGAAGCTGGTTTCATTGAGTGCATTTGCTTTTGCCAGATGACTGCTTGCGTGTTTCCTTTGTTGAGCAATATGCCTTCCACCCCAAAAAGTGTCTAAAAAAGGATGATACACCCTTGCTTGATTGGGGGGAAACGCCCCCGACAAGCCATATGTTTTCCTCCGGGGTTGACATTCGAAGGGCAAAAAAAAGAAAATTGATGGAATCCAGATGGGGCGAATCCGCAGCCGTTCAAGTTCAGAAAACTTGGTTTCTGGCAACTTGGGTTCCCTGAAGCTGCATTTGTAGGTTGGGGCCCCGCTCCCAACCCTTCAGGTCCGGGGATCAGCCAACTCCCAGACGACCGCTGCGATCGATTCGGCCGGCCTGCGACGGTGTGAAGTAGGAGCACGACAGCGAAAGGGCCCGGCGGGTCCTTTGGGAATGCAGCACATTAATGGGAACCCCGGATTAATAACCCTAAATTTTGGTTGATCAGGAGGGTGTCCCCTTCGGCGGAGATTCAGTACTTGAGCCCTGTGAAGAATAGACAACTACAAGATGCGAACACCCGGGGGTTCTTCCCTCGCTCAAACAAAGACATCTTGACGTTTGCAGGTTTGCTGCTTACACTAATTCAAACATACATGGCACATCACAGTGCACGATTGGCACTGTCCGTGCAAAAAACAGCCGAATACTACCGCAATCTAAATCCCAAAAACACATGCGCCAAACGAGCGCCTGGACTGGGTTGGACTCAAACTTTGCGCCATCTTGTTGGGAAACCGCTTTTTCCCAAAAGGCAGAAAGGGCAGTTTGTGTAAAATTGGATCCCAAGAAGGCTGGTTTTCCTCTTGGTTCCCCTTGCAGGCAGCCCCAAAAACACACCACCAAGCGGTCGCGCTGGTGGAGTCCACTTTGCGGCGCGGTCCTCAGCTTGAGATCTCGTCGAGTTGCTCTGACTCCGCCGGCAAAAAACCTGAGCACGTGTCAATGGAGCCAAACGGGACCTCGGTGTTGGTTCTGTTGGCTTTCACATGCGTCCCCCAAATTGAAGAAAATGACGCACCCGGATAGGTATTTCAGACCCGCTTGGCAACCAAGTCGTCCCTCACTTCGCCAGTCGCTCGGTGCTATGAAAACCCAAGCCACTCGGTGGGACCAAGCTCGGAATCATCATACACCACCCGCGGCCTCAGCCAGAACTTCTCGACACGGCTCAAAGATAAGGAACTCCAAAAAATGCTTTGAAAGCCAACCGACTGAGGGTTCAAAAAACTTTGGGGTTTATTCAAAAACACAAACAAGGCGGTGAAACCCAATGCAGGACAAAAAGCCCATCCCCATTTGACCTCATGTCCTTCCGAAACCTGAGGCGACCAGCGATCTGAGTCGCTGGCGGCCGGATGATCAAGTTCCACAGCTTGAAATCGTACCTGAGGAGAAGCCCCACGATGCACCCGTGGCCATCAGCCACAAAGGCGCACGGTGCGAAATCGAAGGAGTCCGCCTGACACAAAAAAGAAAAGGCTGCACACCAGGCGTCTCAAGACAAAGGTTGGAGCTTACGCCGATTTCGCGCTCCTTGCGCTCTCCCCCGCCGAGCGCCGGGCGCTCGCGCTGCGCGCGCTGCGCAGCGATCTGTCAGAGCACGAGCGCGTGGAGGCTGGGGACAAGAGCTCTGGCCGTGGCATGAGCTCCGTGGGCCGAAGCACTCCGCATCGAGCGCCAAGGTCCATGGCATCCATGGAGCCCGCGTTCGAGTGCCTCGTTCCCTCTGTGGCCCTTTGATGTCGCATTGATCAGTCATTGCTAGGCTCAAGCTAAAAAGATAAAAACACAACTCGGACTTGAGTTCAGGTGAACAGCATTTCTTCCCAAGTCAGTTGTCGCCATGTGCTTTCATATGCAATTTCCTTCTTGGGTCCTTCTCATATTCATGGCCACCTTGAGCCGGGCGTGGTACATCAAACTTGGTTCGCCACCCAAACGGAATTATCCCATTTGACGGCGTTCAAAATAGAAACACTATAGAAACTACATATAGCAATAGCACCCCATACATGTTTGATTTGTGGGTAAATGTATTTCAGTACCAGTAGAGCCAGCGAAGCCGGTGGGCGGAAGTTTCAAAAATATATAAACTATAGTTCTCTTTCTCTTTCTTTTCTTGACTCTTTTTCTCCGTCATTCTTCCTTCCTTCCTTTCTTTCCTTCCTTCCTCCCTTCTTTCCTTCTTTCTGTCTGTCTTTTCTTTCTTTCTTTCGTTTGCTTGTCTATCTATCTTTCTCTACCTATCTATACCTAACTACCTATCTATCTATCTCTCGTGTTATCTATCTATCTGCTTATCTATATATCTACCTATCTCTCTATCTCTCTATCTATCCATCTCTCTATATCCCTCTATCTCTGTCTCTCTCTTTCTCTATCTGTCTATCTATCTATCTCTCTATCTCTCTCTGTCTCTCTTTCTATCTTTCTATCTCTCTATCTCTCTTTCTTTCTATCTATTTATCTCTCTAGCTCTTTCTCCATCTCTTTCTATCTATCTATCTATCCATCTATCTCTCCATCTATCTCCCGCATATCTATCTATCTATCTATCTATCTATCTATCTATCTATCTGTCTCTCTATCTGTCTATCTGTCTGTCTATCTTCTCTATATCTCTCTGTGTATCCCTCTGTCTACCTCTCTGTCTATCTCTCTCTCTCTGTCTGTCTTTCTCTCTATCTGTCTATCTATCTATCTATCTATCTATCTCTCTATCTCAATATCTCACGTGTATTTATCCATCTCTCTGTCTCTCTATCTATGTTATATATCTCTCTATCTCTCTCTCTCTCTCTCTATCAATCTATCTCTCTCTCTCTCTATCTATCTTTCTATCTCTCTATCTCTTTATCTCTCTCTTTCTCTCTCTGTCTATTTATCTATCTATCTTGCTCTCTGTCTCTCTCTCTCTCTCTCTCTCTTTCTCTCTCTCTCTCTCTATCTCTCTCTCTCTATCTATCTATCTATCTCTTTCTCTATCTCTTTCTATCTTGACTTCGCGTACTACTTTCGTACTTAAAAGTTGCGATTTTCGAGACCCAGCTGCGAAAGTGGACTTCACGTACTACTTTCGTACTTAAAAGTTGCGATTTTCAAGCTCCAGCTGCGAAAGTGGACTTTCGTATGCCATAAAAGTTCACAGTTTTCAAACCTCAACAAATGGACTTCACCTTCTGCTTTTCATATAAAAATTGACTATAAAGATCGCCAGCTCTGAAAGTGGACTTAACGATACTACTTTAAATCATAAAAGTTACGTTCGTCAAGCCCCAGCCTAAAGTTGTTAGCGATACTACTTTATACTTAAAAAGTTCGTTTTTATTAATTGTGCTACAAAAATTATACTTATACGGGATCTTGCAGGCTGGCGACCTCGCTTGAGAAAGGGGACGCGCCACAGAATCATGCTTGACCTTTGCAGTGATCGCTGAATTTTTGCACTTTGACCTTTGCGAAGTGCTTACTGCCACCTGATTAATAGCGACCTTGCAGTGATCGCCACCGCAGATTGGCAGCGACCTTCTGCCAAAGAGAGGTGGCCGGTGAACGCGCGTATGCGTAGCGGCATGAAAGTGTAAACACCCGCAGAGATCTTGTGCTTGACCTTGCGAAAGTGATGCGCCTGCCACGAAATCTTTACTTGACCTTGCGAAAGTGACGCACCTGCCACGAAATATGTACTTGCGAAAGTGCTGCGCCTGCCACGAAATCTCCCCCTGAGCTTTCGAAAGTGTTGCGCCTGCCACGCAATTCAAACCTTGAGAAAAGTTGACCTTGCGAAAGTGCTGCGCCTGCCACGAAATCTGCACCCGACCTCACCAAAATGCTGCGCCTGCCACGCAATCAAACCTTGCGAAACCTCTGCGTCGCCGTGCCAATGGTCCCGGCGCCGCCCCCGTCCCGAGACCGTCCCGAGCCCGTCCCGCACCCGTCGTCCGTCAGACGCCGCGACCGCAGAGGGTCGCTCCTTTTCGCAAATTCTATTCCCCCGCCACACGCACACGCATGTTTTCTCTCGCGCCTTTCATTCTTTCTTCTTCCTTCCCTGCACCATCTAGCTTTCAATTAGTTTCCGTAACTCGGAAATTTCCTTCTAAACTTCCTTTGATAATACGTGTGTATATATATATATGCATATGTGTATCCGCCGACAACAAGGCGGCGTGTTGGACATAAGAAATGCTCCTTACCTCTTTACCCCTCCCCTTACCCGCCTGGGGACACGGTTTCAGACTATTGCGGGGGGGGGGGGGGGCGCGGTGATTCCAAGACGTTCCATTAAATCCTTTCTTTTAGGGGCTGTGCGGAACACAATTGCGTAAAAACATTGGGGGTGTTCGATTCCCTGGGCAACATCGCCAGCATCACCTGCATCATCCGCATCAGCGCCTGCCAAGGAGGCGGATGATGCAAGTGCTGCTGGGGATGTTGCCCATGCTGGTGAAGGAATATCTGGAAATGAAGGAAAATGCATGGAAATGAATGGGAACAAAAACAAACATAAAGGGACATGAACCGAAGTGAAGGAAAGTGAAGGGAAATGAAGATCTTCGAAGAAGGGGGGAAAAATGTTTTTGGGGGGGAACTGGGGAGAAGATCGGGGGGGGGAAGGAAAGATCTTGGGGGACAAACGCCTCAGGGGGGAAAGAGGGGAAAGCAAGCCAACCGGGAAAGGGGGGGAAAGATCTTAGCGAGGAAAAGGGAGAAGATCTCAAGGGGGGAAGGCCTTAGGGAGGAAAGGGAGAAGATCTGGGGGCAAAGGCCTTAGGGGGGAAAGGGGAGAAATGATCTCAACAGGGAAAGGGGTGCAAAAGGTCTTAGGGAGGAAAGGGAGAAGATCTGGGGAAAAAAGGCCAACAGGGAAAGGGGGGAAAAGATCTTAGGAAGGAAAAGGGAGAAGCCCTCAAGGGGGGGAAAGGCCTTAGGAGGGAAAGGGGGGAAAGGATCTCAACAGGGAAAGGGTGGGAAAGATCTTAGGGAGGAAAAGGGAGAAAGATCTCAGGGGGGGAAAGGCCTTAGGGAGTAAAAGGGGGGAAAGGATCTCAACAGGGAAAGGGTGGGAAAGATCTTAGGGAGGAAAGGGGGGGAAAGATCTTAGGGAGGAAAGGGAGAAGATCTGGGGGGAAAAGGCCTTTGAGGGAAAGGATCTCAACCGGAAAAGAGGGGAAGGATCTTAGGGAGGTCAAGGGAGAAGATCTCAGGGGGGGAAACGCCTTAGGGGGGAAAGGGGGGAAAGGATCTCAACAGGGAAAGGTGGGAGAAGATCTTCGGGAGGAAAACAAGGAAGATCTCGGGGGGGAAAAGGCCTTAAGATCACAGGGGGGGGAAGGCCTTAGGGGGGAAAGGGGGGAAAGGATCTGAACAGGGAAAGGGGGGAAAACATCTTAGGGAGGAAAAAGGAGAAGATCTTGGGGGGAAAGGCCTTAGGGGGGAAAGGGGGGGACAGGATCTCAACAAGGAAAGGGGGGAAAAGATCTTAGGAAGGAAAAGGGGGAAGATCGCGGGGGGAAAAAAGGCCTTAGGGGGGAAAGGGGGGAAAGGATCTCAACAGGGAAAGGTGGCAAAAGATCTTAGGGAGGAAAAAGGAGAAGATTTCAGGGGGGGAAAGGCCTTAGGGGGGAAAGGGTGGGAAGGATCTCAACAGGGAAAGGGGGGAAAAGATCTTAGGGAGGAAAAGGGAGAAGAACTCAGGGTGGGAAAAGGCCTTAGGGGGGACAGGGGGGAAAGGATCTCAAAAGAAAGGGGGGAAAGGATCTTAGGGAGGAAAAGGGAGAAGATCTCAGGGGGGAAAAGGCCTCAGGGGGGGAAGGGGGGAAAGGATCTCAACAGGGAAACGGGGGAAAACATCTTAGGGAGGAAAAGGGAGATCTTGGGGGGGGAAACGCCTTAGGGGGGAAAGGGGGGAAAGGATCTCAACAGGGAAAGGGGGGAAAAGATCTTAGGAAGGAACAGGGGGAAGATCGCGGGGGAAAAAAAGGCCTTAGGGGGGAAAGGGGGGAAAGGATCTCAACAGGGAAAGGGGTGAAACAATCTTAGGAAGGAAAAGGGAGAAGATCTGGAATGGCCTTAGGGGGGAAAGGGGGGAAAGGATCTCAACAGCGAAAGGGGGCAAAGGATCTTAGGGAGGAATAGGGAGAAAATCTCAGCGGGGGGAAAGGCCTTAGCAGGGAAAGGGGGGAAAGGATCTCAACAAAGAAAGGGGGGGAAAGATCTCAGGGAGGAAAGGGAAAAGATCTCAGGGGGGGAAAAGGCCTTAGGGGGGAAAGTGGGGGAAAGGGGGGAAAAGGGAGAAGATCTCAGGGGGGAAAAGGCCTTAGGGGGGAAAGGGGGGAAAGGATCTCAACAGGGAGAGGGGGGAAAACATCTTAGGGAGGAAAAAGGAAAACATCTCAGAGGGAGAAAGGGCCTTAGGGGGGAAAGGGGGCAAAAATCTCAGAGGGGAAGGGGGGCAAGGGGACAATTCCAAAGGGACGCAAATAAGAAAGCAGGCCTGTAATGTCGGCGGCCTGAGCCGGAGGCGTTAAAATATATATATATATATATATATATATATATATATATGTGTCTTAAAGTAGGCATCCCCCAAAGTGGATTTCTTTTGGCTTCCCGTTTAAAATACCAGCCAAAAGGGGATGTACTTCCATATATGCACAATACGTATCAAATTTGACCCGAGTTTCCTCGCTTTAAGTCTCCAAACCTCGCCGCACTTGTCTGTGCCATCGGCCGTTTTTTACCCCTCGCTGCCCCATTCAGGGCTTTCTGCACAGGGTTCCAACTAGAGTTGTTTAACCGACAGCATCATGCAATCACCGAAAGAAAACTCGCATTTGGAACCCCACGGCACGCCCGGCTCGCGCCAGGCTCGCGCCGAAAGGGCAAGCCCCTGACCGGCACTGGAAATCCACGCATGTCAGCCAGCCGAAAAAGATACCTAAAAATGAAAGGGTCTTCCCGCGGTTCTTCCAACCCCGAAATTGCGTTTGACCCCCTCCCCTCCACACTTATTATATTCATTTTCTACACTTCCGGTGTCTTATATTCCCCCTGACCAGTCACCAGGTTGGGTTCCATACCTCAAGGAGTGGTCATTGACATTTGGCTCTAAGCGGCAAAACTAAACTTTGCCAACAACTCTGATCTCAAATGAATTCCATGTGACTGACTTGTCCCATTAAAGCAGGTGTGATCTCAGCAAGTTTGGGCTCGGGCTCTATGTCTAGAGTGCAGACACATAAATATGTGCTCCTGAAATGATTGTGTTCCCATGATTAGTAGAAAATGACAAGCATGCTTGACTGATAGGGATAAATCCGCCACTGGCCAATGGCATCAACAGCTCACATCCTAAACCAATCGAACCCGATGGAAACCCGAGCAAGCTAGTGATCCAGTTGAATGTGGCACCAAATGCGACCCATTTGGCACTGTCTTCCCAAACAATTCCCGTCAAGGGGTTCCTTGGTATCGCAGGGGTTCCCAGCCCATTGGCCCAACCAGCCACCCCCCCCCCTCTGCCTCAGCCCTCAGGGCGCCTGAGGCACCAAGTCTGAGACTAACTGTCCAACTGCCCGCCTCGTCTTTTGCCCCCGGCTTTTTGTTTGCCTTTGGCTGGGCCCATAGTTTACAAACCGGGAAAAACAAAACTGCAAAATAGGGTCTCTTACGATCCTCTTTTGACCACATGCAATTAGGAGCCGAGCCGGGGGTCCGTGTTCAGCGACTCGAACTTCCTCGTGCGGTGTTTCACCCTTCCCGGCAAAAGGCGGGATTTAGAAAAATACTGGGGTTTAGGCACATCGATCCCCAACATTGTTTTCCCTTGGATCCCTTACCAACCTGGGTACCCACAAGAAAATGTGGTTCCAAAGGATGTCACACAACAGCTAAGGACAAATGCAGGTCTCGATATTTCCAACCGGGAAGCAGAACAAGAAGCAAACTCGCAAATCGAACTGGCCTTTTGAGGGTGTTGCAAACCGTTTACAGCGGTATAGAGCTACCCCAAAGCAAGGTGCCACAAAGCGAGCTTCCTTTCAAGCCTGTGTTGACAGCCTCTCAATCGCCTGGTCGGAAACGCTAAACTGGTTCCCTTTTGGGTTTGCTTCAAAGCAACCCGAGGGGTACCCTGAAAAACAAGGGCACACCCCTCACATGCTTGAATCCAGCCCACAGGCCCGGTATGATGCAAACTCACTCCCAGCGATGCGAGCAGCAAGAACTCGACCATGGCAGCAAGCAATAGCAGCAGTGTTTCCGTGCTACCAATCACCTGAAACATGATGCAATATGGAAGCCAGCCGGCAGGCATAGGCAGCCTTGAAAACATGCAGCACAAGCCTGAAATGCGTTTGCATCATGTGTTTGCATCATCATGCTGAAAATGGCCTGACAACGTGTGGAATGCTATGCACCAAGCAGAACATTCGAGCTAATGTTCTGCTCTGGGCATTGCGGTGCTTAATTCTGTGCTAGCACACTGGCAAGTAACATCATTCGAGCAGTCTACCCACAACCTTGTGAAGATTCAAACGGGCTTGATATCCACACCTGCTTATGGCAAGGCTCAGTAACCCCAAACGGACACGCACTGATTGAGCCAGTCTCAAGGCATGCGACTTTTCAAGGGGGACAACACTGTCGGAACTCATGCGGCACTTGAGCGCGAGGCAAAGGAAATGCAAAACGAGAATCGGGCAACTTGGAGAGCCGTTTTGCGAGCGAGGCGATGTGCAACCATCTCCGCCAGGGCACGGTCTTCTGAAGCACAACAGGCTTGGGGCTGTCGGGATCCAGGATCCAACCTTGCGCGGCTTGGCCACCTCTTGAAACACTAGACACGTGTGTCCACGTGTTCCAAAAAAAGTGTTCAGCCTCAGCAAAAACCCAAACCATTTACATGGCTAATCATGACCATGTCCGACTCCGGATTTGTCGGGTGGGCCTCAGAGGGCATCAGCAGGTTTTCCATTGCCGGACCGGCAATGGCGATTGCATCGTGCGCAAAGGTGTGGAAAAATCGTGCGACAAAAGCAAAGAGCCGCACGAGCCTCAGATCAAAAGAAGTCAGAAAAATCGAGGGCACTTTGCATAAGGACCATGGCTCCCCTTTCATAGGGGGATTCCTTCCATGGTCCTCCGAATTCCCCGCCAAACTCATAGGGTCCCAGTTGGGGTACTCCAAAGTCAAACTGAGACAAGCTACCGACCCCCAAATCCGCCTGGCTGCAGGACCTCCGCCACGGAATTGGTGGGCAGGTCGGCACCTGCAGACACCGGGGCTTGGAAAACTGTCTTTGGACCCATCCTGTCCACTTCCATGATTGTGTAAAAGAGGGTTCGCGCCGAATCAGCTGCCCAACTACACTGACTCGAGGGTGCTTCTCAAAATAGAAATCAGCGCCCAAGAAATAGTCCGCTTTGAGAAGCACCCTCAATCTCGATGTCTCTCCCCGCAGCACGTTCCACTGTGCCAGCTTTGATGTGGCGGGCCGCCACGAACCTGTCATGAACACAGCTCCATGGAACCCACAAAGTCACCATTTGTAGAGGAAACTCCTTTCTAAGGACCCCTTGAGGGTTCCGTAGTTAATTGTACATGAGCAATTTTCAGGATGAAATCCCTGCCTCTCTCGCTCTCTCTCTCTCTCTCTCTCTCTCTCCCTCTCTGCAATGACGGCCCTGATCCCAACCCACGCCAGGCGCGCGGGTCGCCAATCTCGACCTGCACTGCCAAGCACGCTTGCAGGTGACTGCGTTTGAGGTTACCCATTTTGGCTTCCTTGTAAAGAACCAAACCCCGGCAACCACCCGGTTGAGATTTGAGGTTGCCCACGTAGGGGCAAGCCCACAAGCCCACCTCCAGATGCATTCACAAAACCGTGCATCCGCAGCGCCCGGAGGGGCTCAAGACTTCCGATCATCCTTGCCTTGATCGGCTGCACGCCAAATCTCTCGAAGGATGCCTGCGCGAATCAACATGTCTAAAAATGGGATGGATAGATAGATAGATAGATAGATAGATAGCTAGATAGCTAGATAGCTACATAGCTAGATAGCTAGATAGCTAGATAGCTAGATAGCTAGATAGCTAGATAGCTAGATAGCTAGATAGCTAGATAGCTAGATAGCTAGATAGCTAGATAGCTAGATAGCTAGATAGCTAGATAGCTAGATAGCTAGATAGCTAGATGGATAGATTAGAATGGATTAGATTGGATTGGATTAGATTAGATTAGATTAGATTATATTAGATTTAGATAGGTAGATAGATAGACAGATAGATAGATAGATATATCTAGATAGATTAGATAGATTAAACAGATAGCAGATAGACGAATTAACATATAGATAGGTAGATGGATAGATAGTTAGACAGATAGACATGAAGGGAAGGAAAGGAAACGATGGGATAGGATGGCATAGTATAGGAGAAGATAAGATAAGGTCACGTAAGCCAAAAAAGCTAGATAAGCAGGTATGTAGATGAATGGGTTGTAGGCATAGACAAACAACAAATATCGGTCTATGTGTATATATATATATATATATGCCTTTACATACACATACACACATGTAAAAAATAAGAAAACCAAAAAAAAAGTTGTCCCAAAAGAAAAACAACAAGGCGCTCACAAGTGTTCATGGATTGCTACATCTGCCCTGTCATTCCAGCAGGAAATTGCTGTTTTTGGCCAGAGTTTAAGAGTTGTGGAGTGTTTTTGGATTTGCAAAGAACAGCTCTCCAAATGTGCTTGTTCTGCACTTAGGCTTGTGCACTTAGTCAGTATTCAGTCTTGGGAGGCCTGTGAGTGCAAAGCTGGTTTTCTTTCACCATGTGGACCATGCAGCCTAAATGTAACGTGCTTTAATGACTTCGAGTACCTCGGCAAAAGTTCTTTGTAGCACGCAAAACTTGTCTTTGCATCAAGCTGTTTTCCCTGATACGTTTTATGGGTCCAAAAGTGTTACTGTTTCATGTGACCATTTTACTGGACAAATCTAAAAAGTAAAAAGTAAAGCTGCCTGAACTAAAACAAAGCCTTGCTGCTGGAAGTAATACTTTTAGCCTGTCAAGAGTCCAAAAGTGTTACGTTGGGGAAAGTAAAAATGCTAAGCAGCCTAGAGCTTAAAAAAAAGAACAAAACACGTTACTGTGTTTCCTTTTGCTGTTGTTCATGGGGCCTGGAACTTTGCCTTGTTACTTCTTACTCTTCCCAGCAAGAGTCGAAAGGTATATCTGCCAGAAGTAGAAAACATATGTCTTACTTTACTGGCTCTAGAAGGCGGATAAGCTAAGTGTTGCCTGGTCAAGGCGACATCTTACGAGCACTGCCTTGTACAAGTCTCGGGTCAGTGCCACTCCTTGATGCAAGGCCTCCGCAGTGCCTGGACAGACAGCTCAGAGCCTCTGCCGCAGAGCAAGAGCATGAGCCATACTGTGGCAGGAATCCATGCCAGCCCAGTTGGGATGCATAAACACCTATGGGATCTGGGATGAAACCCCGTACCACTGTAGGAGGTTCTTCATTGGGCCATGGTCCCAAGTTTTCCTTGGGCCCTAGTGGTCACTTATATACTGCTCACAATTCTGCAATGACGTCCCTGCAGGAGCCTTTGTCGTGCTTCTCTGCGGCGAAGCTATCAAACTTCCCATACACCTGAACTGCATAGCTGACCGCTTCTTTTTCTGGCAACTGTTCCCAACCTTCACTTACTCTCCCTGAACTTGTCGAAGCATGATTCCAACCGAAACAATGTACAAACCGGTGCTATTTTTAGGGCTCCCTTTTCTCCCCCCATAGGGTTCCCTCATTTTCCTCCACTTCCCCTATCTCGGCGCAAGCTGATAGTTTAAGACGTACTGGTTTTCAAGGGGCTCTTTTTGGGGGATCCTTCTGCAAGAGAAATCTGGAGAGATCCAGGTTTTGTCCAACCTCACATGGCCAAAGCCTGCCTGGATCATCTTGGTCGTGAAGTGCGCCATGGCACTTCTCCTCCTATCCTGCTGAAGAACAAGGGGAGCCAAGGGCAAAATATGCACTGCCTGTTATGCACGTCGGAAACTGTGAGAGCTGCCTGGTTTTGGTGGGGAAACTCCCGACCCGCAAAGAGCCCAAGCCGCTATTCATTCTTGGGGATGACGTCCCCCCACTAACCTCCAATTTCCCACTCGTCAGTGGCAACCTGGGCAAACCCCCTTGAAACCGGTATCCTTCCAGGAATGTTTGTTGAAACATGTTCAAACCACTATTGTGTAAAGAACCTCTTGTCGGCTTCTCTTTAGAGGGGGCAAGGAGTCTGGTTGTTTGGGGTCTAGTTGTTTGAACAAACTTGCCCCCGCCTGATCCTTGAAACGGTCGTGCGCCCCAAGCTGACAAACCAACCCCCGCCTCACGCTCCTTTACAAAGCGCTTCTTGTGGTTTTCGAAGTCTGCTAATGACAAGAGCAGCCTAGGAGCAGATGGGGTTGTCTTTAAATTGGATATGGGGCCCCAAAAAAGGAGTATTCCCTTTGAAACCCCAAGAAGGGTTGCACGTAAAAAAGACAATTATCTTCGAAGCCACAACAACCAATCAAAACCCTTGCTTGATTCGTGTTCTTTCCCTATCGGGAAAGGGTCAATCACATTGGGATGTTGTGAACAACTCAACATGGCAATGGAGTCAAATGAGGCACCCGCTCATGTTTGCTCTGCTTGATGTGCTCCTGCACACACATCGCAAACGTGCGAGGTTTGCATGGGTGCCCTCCCACAGCCAATGGCCATAAACGAATGCCGGAAATGGTCATTTTGGTTCTGCTTTGCACATCCGAAAGGGGATCGGAGTACAATCCATTGATCCCAAAGAGCCTGACAATACACCCGAACTACGGCAAAGTGATGGTTTTAGCCAAAGGATAATAAGTGTACATGTGACACAAAAGAGAGGCTACGCATTTGGAAGAATCATCCACCTTGTTTTGGTCACTGCGAGGTGGAACACATACTGGAAGAGTCCAACTTGCCTTTGACACATGAGCAAAAGACAAACATCAGCCTACTGGAAGAGTCCAACTTGCCTCTGACACATGCGCAAAAAACAAACATCAGCTTTAGGTGACCCCTGTCTGGTGGTACTTTCCGGTACTCACATGACTGGATTGCTCCAGTGCTAAACTCGTGGGAAAATGCACATGTGGGCGAAAAAATATGGGACATACAAATGTTCCCAACATAAACGAAGATCCACCCAAATGGGAGAGACCAAAACGGTGAAAGGTCAAGGCGAAGCACGCCGCCGAATCCGTCCTGGAGTTCATCGAACTCCTTCTGCAGGGCCGCCGCTGGGCCCTGGATATCGAGTCAGAAGTCCGATCGGAATCGGTTGGTAGGTTTGTCAACCAGCAATAGGGTTCCATCTCGACTGGTGCGAAATGGAGTTTGTCCACCCGCAGGTTTATGGGTTTAGCCCTGTTAGGGAATCCCCTTTTTGAACGTGAATCTAAAAGTCTCGGCTCGAAGCCTGTCAGCTGGTGGACTAGCGCCAGCAGAAGTTCGAGTGCTGGTTCACATGACTGAGCCGCCATGGATGCAGACCCTGGACCAGGGGGTCTTCACCGGGGTGGTTCACGCTGGGGCTCATCATGCCCGTGCTGCCCCTGGAGGCCAACTCCTGCAGCTGCCGGACCAGCTCCTCGCACCAGGCCAATCGGCCACGCTCTACAGCTTCAAGGCCAGTCAGATGGCGGATGGAACCATCCTACTTGCTCGGCAACCTGATTCGCAGTGGTTCCTCCACGAGCCCATCACCATCCAGGCCTACCAGCACATGAAAGAAATATGCGCAGGCATGGGGGGCATTGGCATGGGAGCCACCTCGGCCGGCATCATGCCCATAGCACACCTGGAGATCAATCCTCTCAGCTGCCAAGCATTGACCCTGAACGGCGCCTCCAACGTCATCCAGGGCGATGTCTGCAACATTGCAGACGTGGCCAAACTACATGGAGCAGGCTCACTACGGCGAACAGTGATCAGTGCGGGCTTCCCTTGCCAACCGTACTCCACTCAAGGAGACATGCAGGGGGCTAAAGACTCACGCAGCTGGACCTTCCTGGCCACCCTGAGGGCGGCGTGGCTTATGCAGGCTCCGGCGATACTACTTGAATGCGTTCCTGCCGTACAAGGTCACCCCTTCATCCGGGAGAACCTGAAGCTGCTTGCGGACGCGCTCGGCCTCCAGGTGAAGACGCTCACCTTGTCACTTCAAGATCAGTGGCCATGCCGCCGCGATCGATGGTGGGCGCTACTTGCCCCACGAGAATTCGACTTGACCAACCTCAAACCCTGGGCCAAACACGACCTCCACAGCACCATCGGGCACATCATTCCTGACTGGCCGCTGTGGGACAACCAAGTTGAAGAAGAACTACAGCTCACCGAGACCGAGCTCTACCACTACAACAATCATCTCTTCGGATGGGAGACTCGACTCCTGGAACAATCCGGAATATGCCCCACGATCTTACACTCATATGGCAGTGTGTTCACAAAGTGCCCATGTGGATGCCGGAACGCAGCATTCCGTCCTGAGCGACTCCAACGCGGAGGGGTCAGAGGCTGCTACGTCCTTTCCCAGACCACCGGCAAGCCTCGTTTCTTGCACACGGCAGAAGCAGCACTCCTTTGCACGGTACCACCAAACTTCAAGTTCCCAGGTGGACCCAGGACAGGCCTCTGCCTGATCGGTCAAATTGCGGCCCCTCTTCAAGCCCAGTGGATGTGCCTACACCTCGTTCAGGCGACACAGCTTTTCTACGGCTGGGAACCGGTTGTGGAACCCCAAATCCACATCCAACACACCAAGAACCACCTTCAATGGCAACGACACCACCTTTGGACCACTGAACACTCACACGCCACCCGGCATGTGTGGATCAAGGACCAACATGGGCACAACCTTCACGTCAGACCGTCCACGACCTTCTTCAGGCCGAGGTCAGGCTCATCGACCCGGGGGCCTCTGTCCAGCTATGGGATGGACCACGGCTGGTCCCACAAGAAGCCATTCTCCAAGATCAAGGCTGGCAAGGCCCCTACACAATTGTCACCAAGCACACCTCTGCCGCAGCTACCACAGACATCGACATTGAGATCACCTTCCACATCGCCCACCAGGCCACATCAGTCACGCTGCCCCAGGGAGCGTACCTGTTCCAAGCATACGCGGCCGGCCACATCTCACCCAGCATCACTCCGGTAGACCTGCAAGGACAACCACTCCGGCTAGACACCAGAATCTGGCAAAACACTGTCATTCCTTGTCGCTCCCCAATCACGGCAGCCGGCGACTCCTTGGAGGGACTCAACGACCAGCAAATCAGTGCGGAGCTCACCTGGATTGCACGCCTACATGGGGAGCTTGGCGGCGATCCTTTTCAATGCCCAGCTCCTCTCCTTATCCAGCACCACCACGACGACGGACCCACCATCGACCACAACACCCTACAACTCCTCGAGCAATGCAACCCACAGCTTCTCACCACCATCATCTTTGCCTATGATGATCACTGGGCGCTCCTGACCACCGTGCCAACCACCACAGGCTTTACAGCAACCATCTATGACGGTCTACCTGCTCGATCCCTCGCGGGAGGGCACCACTTGGCCCAACGCCTCGCCGAACTCTGGGAGACCGAATGCACCAGCATCCACAACTTCACAATCTTCGACCAACAAGATGATTGCTCCTGTGGCACAGTCGCCCTGGCACACCTTGGCCACGTTCTCAACCTCTGGCCTGACAACTACCACCCAGACACCACAGCGTGGCATCATCAAGTCCGTGAGGGACATCCTACCACCACGCACATGCACGTCGCCAGAGGCCCACCGCAACTCGCCCTGGACAACACACCTCTCTCTCTCAGCAACCTCCTTATCGAGAAAGGAGTTCCTCCTGCCCTTGCGACAGATCGAGCAGCAGCAGCCATCAAACAACTCGGCACCAAACCAATCACCGACGCACTGCGCTCAAGAACTTGGTTGCTGCAACAAGCCAGCACACCCATTCCTTTCTGGGTCAAGCCTGAGAAATCGTTCATGACAAAAATCCAACAACGACATCCACAACATGGGGATTTCCACCTCAAACAAGAAAAAGACCAGGGACAGCACTGACACTCAACGCAACCGACCGGACCCTCAACTCGATCCCAGCGAGTTACAGCTGATACCCAACACTTTTGTTGGAGAAGACGGCATCCCGGTCGATCACCTCCATATCAGCTCTGTCGGAAAAGGCAAAACAGGCATTGCCTTCGCCACTGTCCATCAGGCAATGCCATACCTACAGGCAGCAGAACAACTCAGCGCAGGACCTCACCAAGACCTATGGCAGGGGGACTGGCAAGTCTTCATCGAGGGCCCCATGAAGCAGGTCATGATGGCCTTCCCCATCCTCACACTCTGCAAAACACCAGGATGCGGAAACTCCTGCCAGAAATTCCATCCACCTGTCGACGAAGACCATCTCGACAACGTCATCCTTGACATCTGGGGTCGACAATGGGCCAGCCCATCTGGGGCCAGAGTGAACAAAGACAAGGCGGTCTGCTGGACGGCGCTAGTTCGCGTCCCTGAGGTCATCACTCCCAACCTCCTCGCCCTCTCAGGAACCAACGGGCTCTTCATCGACCCACGCGACCAATCCGGCAAAGCGCCGGACGAACGCTATGGAGTCATCTGGCTACCAGGAGCCACGCTCCAAACTGCACACCACAAGCACCGCACCACCGAGGGATCCATCTCGGTCATCCGGCTTAATGACCGCTATGGCCTGCGGTTTAACACTGCACAACTACCCCAGGCACACCACACACTCAAGCCGGACGAACCCTACCTGCAGGTCAAGGTAGTAGACATATACAAGCTTTTTCCTCTGCCACATGGCACTCAGCGCCAAGGCCTCATCAAGTCACTTGCATCCTGGGGATGGCGCGCCAAACCACTTCAACCCTGCAAGGGCGACCACAACGGCATCGGATGGGAAATTGGCGCTGAATCGGCACCCCCAAGCAACATCCTGCAAGGAGCCCATGGGGACGTTCTGGTCACCAAACTCCGGTCCATCCGATCCGCTCCAGCCAGCTCCAATCTGGTTGCGTTCGACCGCACCCAGAAATGTCTTCACAGCAACAACGACCCGTCAGCCGCCTCCTCCTCCACACAACGGACCAACGACCCCTGGCAAGCCGGGAAAGACCCATGGTCCCAATGGTTCAACCAACACCCCCTCGACGGCAAATCCGCACCAGGACCACCAGCCGCAGACAGAATCCAGCAGGCCGAGGAACGCATCAAAGCAGACCTACAGGCCACATTCCAAAAGCAGCTTGACTCCCATTGGAGCAGCTGGGACGGAGATCACGACATGGAGACCTCTGACCAGACTCGCTTCGAGACCCGCTTCCACCAGCTCGAAACCAATGTTGCGGAACTCCAAAAGCAAAACACCAAATTCGAGCACTGGTTCACGGAGGCGGCCACAGCCAATGCAGCCACCAACTCCCAGCTCGCCTCAGTTGCCCAACAGGTCAGCTCCCACCAGACGGAGCTCACGATGCTCAACAAAAGCGTCAATGAGCGCCATGACGAGCTGCGACGGGAAATGTCCCAGGGCTTTGGCAACATCGAAGCCCTTCTGTCGAAAAAGCATCGCAAGGAGTGACTACGTCACCCTGGACCCGGCGGACCAGCCCGCCAGGTGCCAGGAACTGCAACCACAACCAGCTGGACCAAGCCACCCCTTGCAACCTGGTGGCTACTCCTACTCAGCCTTATCACGCCTGCGCTTGGAGGCAGTGCCTACGGGACGCCTTCACGAACAGCAGCAACACAGCCTGGGTTTACCCAGCACAGCCCTCTTTCGCTGCACTATCACACCGGCTACACTAGCAGCCTGCGGGACGCTGCACTTAGCCATCATGACAGTGAGCCACCTGGGGCCATGAGCATCAATCTTTGCACTAGCTTACCTTCACGGTCCATTCCTCGGGCCGCTGAACCTCACTTCTCTTCCCACGGACTATCAGCCCAAGCTGGACAACCCGTGGATCAGAGAACCGCCCCAACAGCCATCACAGCTACGGGCCAATCAGATCTTGAGCCGGCATTTTGCCACCTTACATACTACCCAATTTTGCATGGGAAGGAGCGCCATCCAGCCATGCCTTGCCTTACCCGGACCTTCATGCACAGCGCGGCCCACCGCGACATTGGGTCGGGCGAGACATCGCTGGACACGCGCATTCCCCATGGCGAGCCACCACA